CTTTCTATATATATATATATATATATATATATATATATATAAATAAATGGTAGCTGTTGAGAAGGATACGAAACTTTTTAATTATTCGGGTGGTTAAGCGGCAGGAATCGAATTCGAAGAAGCCAAAATTGTATGGAAAATACCAGATGTCATGATTCAAGACTTCGACGGCACACACCCCTCAAAACCGACAAAGGAGACCCCTGAGATAAAAGTCGCCGTCGAGCTCAAGTTTCCATAAAAGCATCATTCAAACCCTCTCCACCTGTAAAATAATGTGAACAAAAAACAAAAGGATGCAATAATGCACTAAAACTTTATTATGATAGTAAGTAAGAAAATTTAAAACCAAAGAGAGAAGAAAAAGATCCTTGCTCAAGAGTATAAATTTCCGTGAAAGCAAAAGTGCTAATTTTACATGGTAAAAAACAAACCAACTGGAGTATCTTTTAAAGTCCAATTTTCTAAGCCACAACCATTTTCACAGAGCTATAATGTTATATTGAGTTTCTCTGTCAGGTATAAAAAGTCAAATGTGTATGGAATAAAAAATAAATAAAAAGTCGCAAGAATGACCCCATAGTCAAAAGAAGGGTGCAGTAAGGACGAGTCCATTGTCAAAAAGAGAACAGATATCCAGCCCTCTAAAACAGGGTGGGCCGAAGGGTTCACACCATGGTTTTAGCTATAATGCACTAAAACTTTATAATGATGTGTCAATGACAAAACCCCAGTGGTCTGAGTCGGGTTGGGAATGAGTCTGGTCGGGTCCAGTCCAGCAGGCCTGGGACCCAGATCCCAAATAATAGTGTGGGACTCAGATCGGATCCAACTCAAAAATTACAATATCGAATTATATTTAGTATATTAAGACCCAAAAAATAATATCAGACCCGAACCCAAATATCTTTGCAAGGCATGAGCCCGATATTTCATATATTAAGCCAATTTATTTTAGTTTGTTTTAATTAAGTTTGAAGCGCGTGAAGTGTTTTTGACTTATGACACGTGTAAATTTGGCGAGAGAGACTAAAAAAACAAATGGCTCATGTGAGAGAAGGCGTTAAGCTCGCACTAAGATTGAACATGCAATGCAAGGAAATATACGAAGATTTACTTTCAATCATTGATCTCATTGAATCAATCTAGACCGTCGATCTGGGTGCCCGCTTGGTGCGCCACATGTCTCGGCGTAGCATCGCTATCGTCACATCTCACAAGAGTAGGTTTACCTCCCCCACTTACTAATAAATTCCATGGAAAAAATAATGTAACGTTCCTTAATTAAAAATTTCATGGAAATGAAAAGTTTCCCGGGCTCCAAAACCCCCATTAAAGTATCTCTAATCACAAACTCAAGTAAGCTCTCGGGACCACAACAAAATCGCATTAAAAACCGCGCTCTGAAATTTCGCCCCATCTTGTACGGAAGATAACGAAATTTCGGAGAAACTTCCCGGAAATGTCAGGGAGCTGATCAAATTCAAACTCGCGTGTGAAACGAATTAAGGTCCGAAATTTGTTCATGAAAGAAAAGGATTTGGGGCAAATTTTCGGTTGGAGACCAGGGAAAATAGAGGGAAAACCGCTGGTTTCCGGTGAAATTTGGATTGAATTTTGAATGAAATATGGAGGGCTTCTTTTCTCTGTATTAATTCTTCGTTCGAAATTTTTGGAAATTTCGAGAAGTAAATTAAAAAAATAAAACAAAAGAAAAGAGAGAGAGAGAGAGAGAGAGAGAGAGAGAGAGAGAGAGAAAGAAGCAGAGTTTAACTTCCATGAAAGCAAAAGTGCAAATTTACATGGCTGAATTGAACAGTCAATCAGAAGGGACAACTCTAAAATCCAATTTCCTTTTCGATAAATTTGATCAGTTATTTCATTCATTAAAAAAACGAAACAAAGCGAAATTACTTTAAATTGATTGTAACTTTCCAAGACTTCTTCCAATACATTTGAAATCCAAATCCAGTAAAACTTCATTCATAATTGCCCAATATAATGAGATAAACAAAAGGAAATTTCATGTAAGATCTGCAAAGCTGTACCCAAGAGTGAAAAAACCAGAGCAGAGAGAGATTGTTACCTGTAAATTTAGTTACAGGAGATATCATAGGAGTACTGTGAGCTCCAAGGCGAACGCCTCCACTGAAGAACTAAAGCAAAGAGGCCATGGGAGAAGTAGAGAGAATTTTGCGTCAATTACTTTTGGAGAAGGGCAGTTGAGGAGTTCTTACACACGCGTCTTAAATATTCGTAAATATTTATAAACCACGCGGGCAGTAAGATTATTTATGGGTTGGTATTGCGTACACATGCTGTGTACCCTTAAAGAGTCTACAACCACTTTTAATAGTTCGGTTCATATTCAACCAGAGCATAAGTTAAATTTTGTTTATTTATTTATTTATTATTTAAAAATAATTTAGTATCAAATTTAGGATACATTTTTATTTTTATATATAGAATTAAATAAAAAATATATATTTAAATATGCAATATTGGTCAAATAAATTTAGAGATATTTTGGTAAATTTTTATTGAAAATATTCTTTGATTATTTTTATTCTTTGGTAAATTTTATTGAAAATAAAAAATAAAAAAATTACATAAAACCCCCCAACATGGACTTTCTAAGCAATTTAGCCATCTAACTTTTCCTAGTAAATTTCCAAAAAACCCATGTTTCTTAGCTAATATCCACTATACATGTTTTCTAACAAATACCCTCAATCCATAAAGTTCATTTTTTTTTTTACAAAAATATCCTTTCCCGTACATAACAAATCATACTCAGATCCCAATAAAAGGAAATCCCAGACCACACTTGTACAACACCGGACTGCTCACTTCAAAACGTTGGACTGCCCCTTCAAAATGTCGTACCGCCACTTCAAAACGTTGGATTGCCCCTTCAAAATGCCAGACTGCTATTTCAAAACGGACTGCTCAGTTCTCCAATAGCATAATCCTTGGACCGCCACAATGAAATGTTGGACTGCCCCTTCAAAATACCGGACCGCTATCTCAAAACGTTCGACTGCTCATTTCTCCAATAGCATAATCCCTGGACCACCACAATGAAACGTCGGACTGCCTCAAAATACTAGACCGCCCCTTCAAAATTTCGGACAGCTATTTCAAAACGCCGACTGCTCGTTTCTCCAATAGCATAATCCTTAGACCGCCACAATGAAATGTTGGACTGCCCCTTCAAAATGCCGAACCACTATCTCAAAACGTTCGACTGCTCATTTCTCCAATAGCATAATCCCTGGACCGCCACAATGAAACGTCGGACTGCCTCAAAATACTAGACCGTCCCTTCAAAATGCCGGACAGCTATTTCAAAACGCCGACTGCTCGTTTCTCCAATAGCATAATCCTTGGGCCGCCACAATGAAATGTCGAATCGGCCACTTAAGCAAAATAATCGCCGGACCGGCCATTCGAGCAAAATAATCGCCAAACTGCCTCTTCCAAATGCCGTACCGCCCTCTCCAGTGAAAATGATTTGTTATGTAAAAGAAGGGTATTTTCGTAAAAAAAATAAACTTTTTATATTGGAAGGGTATTTGCTAATAAACATGGTTTTGGGGGAAGTTGCTAGGAAAACTTAGGTGGGGGTAAATTGCTTAGAACGTCTATTTTGTTTTTTTTTTGTAATTTGATCTAAAAAAATAAACCTATACCCCAAAATTCAAATAAATATATTATCTAAATAAAAATAAAAAATAAAATACATGACTAATAGATGTTCTTGGGGAGAACTAAACCTACAACTTGGCTTGTATGGTCTATCTCTTGACTCATTAGATGGTGTGATGACAATTTCGCGATGGGACAGTAGATTTTGTGCAATCATGTATCATGCTGTACTTTTATTGTTTGGATGTGGGTCGTTGAGTACATAAGATAATCTATCATACTATATGTTGTCTTCGATATCATGGGGTGATACGTTATAGTACCATCCAATAAATTGACGGATGGTGATGGCAGCCCAGGAAGAACCATACTAAAGGATATGTGAGACAAGTCGACGCCCCCTCCCCGCTACATCATCGTCCATCAATTAATAGGATACTGGCACCACTTGCAATCATAGCATTCATTACCTATATGAAGAAGGATTGTATCAAATTTTTTTTGTGTGTGTGCGTAATTCAATGGGCTCTCTAAGACTCGTAGCTTCCATATACTTTAGAACCGCTAGCTTCTAATCATATTCCATACTTCATATACTCTACCTTAGCTAGCCTAATCCCTACCCTACAATATACACCATAGTGTACCATATACCTTAACCTATCCTATACATCTTAGTTAGTCTACATCCTACCCTATACTATACACCCTAGTTCCTATACACCATACCTTAACCTAACTGACTTAAGCCATACACTTAAACCTTAGGTCCTAACCTTGACCCAATAAGATCAAGACTGCTCTCTCATGTGCATGCAAAGGGACCGATGAAAGCCCACCTAGGCTCAAGCCCGTTCCATATCCATTCTCTCTCATGTCTCTCTTTCTATCTCTTCTCTTTCTTTCTTTTTCTCCTTCTCTCTCATCTTTCTCTCTCTCTCTGTTCTCTTCTTCTTCTCTCCTCTTTCCTCCCGTCTTTCTCTCTCTTCTTTCTCTCTTTCTTTCTTTCTCTTTTTCCTTTTTTCTCTCACTTCTTCCTCTCCCTTCCTGTCTCTCTTTTTCTGCTCTGACCCAGGATGAGTCTGAGCCTCTCTCCTCACCCCTCTTTCTTTATTCGGACTCAGGGCAGGTCCGAGCCTCCCTCTTCTCTCCTTTTTCTTTGCTCGGACCCAGGGCAGGTTCGAACCTCTCTCTTCTTCTCACTCTTTCCCACGCCCTCTCTCTCACGGCCGAGCACACGCACCCGTGCCTAGGGCGGGCTCGGCATTCTCTTCTCTCCTTTATCTTTTTCTCTCCCTTCCTCTCTCTCTCTCTCTCTCTCTCTCTCTCTCTCTCTCTCTTGCTCGGGTTACGGACCCGTGTCATAGGCGGCTCCACCCCTCTCCCTTCTCTTCTTTCTTTTCTTTATTCTCTCTCTCCCTCCCTCTCGCTCGTGTCACGGACCAGCGTCATAGGCGGGTCCGCTCCTCTCTCCTTTCCTCTCTTACTCTTACTCTCTCCCCTAGTTGACGGACCCACGCCATAGGCGGTTCTGCTCCTCTATCTCTCCTACTCTCTTCTCCCCTCTACTCTCTAACCTCCCCAGAGCTCGGACCCTCTCCATAGGCGGGTCCATCTTCTCCATCTCTTCTTTCTTATCTTCCCTATCCCCTTTCATCCCTACTTACCCTTTTTTACCCCAAGCTATCTTATACGTAGCCTGGACTTGCACCTTAGGTGGGTCCATCATTTCGTGACCCTATTCATCCCATTCTCTCATTTTTAAACATTTTCTTCTCTCTCTAAATCATACCCCACCTACTCATTCATTTTTATTTCGTTTCTATTTCATCATTCTTTTACTTTCTTATTCACTTACTACTTCTTTCCCTTCTTGAGCACTCGATTTGGGGCGTCGTGAGATAATGCCCTAGGGTTATAACTCTCAGATTGCTACACTAACCATCAGCTTGTACAGTGAAGTCGGGTCATAAGAGACACTGATTATCTTACACTTAGTCACTCGAGTTGGGATCATCCAGAGTTAGCTTTCTTTAGAGTTCGAACATTTTCATTACTCTAACCACCGAGTCACACAGTATTCGGGTTATGAGAGGTTATCATCTCTTTCTTTCTCTCTCTTTCTCACTTTCTTCTCTCCCTTAATCACATTTAGGAGGCTCTTTGTTTTAGTGACATAGTTATAGGCTCAGTCTTGTAACTCCTCTTTCCAACTCCTCTAGGTACCAAGGCTTTATGCCTCGTACTTTTCCTTATCTCTGGTAATAACTCATGGGAGAGGTTACACCGGGGAGACTACCCAATTTTCTTTGGTTCATCCATTACTTCTTTTACTTCTTTTTTTTTTGTTTCTTCTTCTTCTTCTCATCTCTTAACCAATTTCTTATCAATCTCCTCTTATTCTTGTCCTACCACTTTATCCCAAAACTAGAACCATTAACCTATAAAATACATAAAAGAGGATTACATTACATTTGGATTTTATTAGCAGCTTTTCAGTAAAGAGTTGAGGTGAGGTATTGAATTTAGAGAAGGGGTCGAATTCAAACTGAATTGCTTGACAGCCGGAGGGCTTTCGTTCATTGATTTAAGAAGGCAATAGCCCGGACTTATCTCATGAACTCAAACCACAGTGAGGTAGGTGCTCGAGTCCATCTCTTCATCGCTTTAAAATCCTATCATAGTTGGGCATACATATCAGCACATGACACATGAGCCGTACACGTGCTCATGGGGTCAAGGCGGTTGTTCGAGACGGGGTCAATTGAACCTAGGTCCCCGAGGGAGCCCGGGCGAGGTAGATGCTCAACCACATGTAGATGGTTTAATGGCTAGAGGGAGATCTGTTGAAAGAAGTGAAAAAAGATAGAAAAGACAGGGTAGGTTCAAATCCAAATCAAGATCAATAAAAGGTAATATTTGTTGCAATTACTGTAAGAAAAATAAGCATATAATAAAAGAATGTTAGAAACTCAAAGAGAAAGAAATATGAGAGTTTGAAGCAGCCAATATAGTTGATGGAAGCTCAGTAAGTGAAACATATAATGTGTTGTCGGTCTCGATAAATTGTGACAACTCTAAGACTCATGAGTTCTTAATTCAAGATGTTCCTATCATATGTGCCCGTATCGGGATTGGTTTACCACATACAAGAGCATTGATGTTGAATTAGTTTTGATGGGGAATGATGCAGCTTGTAAGACCATTGGTGTTGGGACAATTACTATCAAGATGTATGATGGAGTTGTCAGAAACTTGACTGATGTTAGACAGATTCCAGATTTGAAGAATAATCTTATTTCTTTGAGTATGTTAGACTTCAATGGCTGTAAATTTGTTGGAGAATGTGGAGTTCTAAAGATTCTTAAGGGTGCTCTAGTTGTTATAAAAGGCACGTAGATCAAATCGAATTTAAATGTGTTGCTTGGGAATACTATCACAAATAAAGCAGCGGCTTCCATATCTGATGATGATGATTCTGAATTGACCAATTGTCGCATAGGCGATTGGGCCACATGGGTGAGAGAGCTTTGACATAAGTTAGCAAATGTCAATTGATCAGTGACGTGAAGAAGTGCAAGTTGGACTTTTGTGAGCACTGTGTCTATGGTTAGC